CTAATGCAACCACTATTCCCAGTTCCAGAGGTGGAGGCCAGTGCAAAAGCTTTCTGTCCAGTGATGCCGCTTCTTCCAGGTGTGGATCAGAACCTAGTCAGGAGACAATGCAGGCAGAAGTAGATAACTCTACACCTCTGTTCATGCCACACTCTACTGCCCAGCTCTTCCTATGGGGCATCGGAGAGACTATAAAAAAAAAAAAAAAAAAAAACCTCACTGCCATTGAGTTGACTCCAACTCATAGTGACCTCCCACTGAGTTTCCCAGGTGGTAAATCTTTACAGAAGTAATTGTACCATCTTCCTTCCACAGAGCAGCTGCTGGGTTTGAACCACCAACCTTCTGGTTAGCAGTCAAATGCCTTAGGCACTGCACCACCAGAGCTCCTTATAGTACTGCCCAAATAGGACTTCTTTGGAGGGCAACTATTCACTTGTCATAATGAGTAGAGAGCATAGCACTGTCCTGAGGACTGGATCCCCTCCTGTGTCCTGGGCTGCTGGGGCTGTGTCCATGTCCCTGTGCTGTGTGCTCATGTGCATATGCCTGTGCCAATGTCCCTGTGGAAATGAGACAGAAGGGCACCCCGTCTGTTGACAGTGGAAACAAACTAAACAGATGATTTGTATTCATTGCCATTATTGGACATCCATTTTTTAAAAAATTGTGATTATCCAAAATGACAAGAATTACTGGTCAAATAGAGACTGGTGGAACCCCTAAGACTATGGCTCCGGGTTACCCTTCAGGCCTGGAAATGGACTCACTTATGAGGATTAGCTCTCAGACCAATAGTAGGAAGGCCTACAAGCAGACCTACCCCGGGGAGATGCACCGACTTACCCTAGGGAGATACACACCTTAGATCAATCAACCATGAGACATCAAAAAGACTGCATTCACATAGAGGGAAAGCTGGACAGACAGCTTTAGATGTTTAGATTGACAATACTCATTGAGATGTTTCAACAAATGTTTAGATAAGAAAGGCACAGGGAAGGAATGGAGACAAATATGCATGAATTGTTGAGAGTAAAATGAATCGGCTTTGTAAATTTGCACCCAAATCACAATTTTAAAAATAATAATAATTGTGATTATTATATTCAAGATATGGACAATTACCAGAGAATTGGAATCTACAAATAAATAAAATAAAAGACTAATAAAATTCTAGAATTAAAATACAGTAACCAGAATTATTCCTTATTGCACTGAAGGAATTGGTGGAAAACAAGCCTCCAGGAATTGACAATACTCAGATGTTTCAACAAACAGTTGCAGCACTGGAGGCACTGACTTGTTTATGCCAAGAAATGTGGAAAACAGCTACCTAGCTGTTCTGGTTATCTAGTGCCGCTCTGACAAAAATATACACCACAAATGGGATGGCCTTAACAAACAGGAGTTTATTCTCTTACAATTTGGAGGCTTTAAGTCCAAGTTCAAAGTGCCAGGCTCTAGAGGCTGGGTGAAAGCCCCTCAACCTTGGGGTCCAGCTCTGACTCCTGCTCCTGGCCTACTGGAGCTAGAGGCTTTTCTTCACTCAGACAGCTGCTGGTTGCTGAGGTTGACAAGTCCAAGGTTGACAAGTAAAAAGGCAGTCTCAATGTTATCAAATCACACGGCAGACCATTAATTTAAGCCCATTGTAAGTCCCAAGGTTTGCAGAGCATGGCAGACTACTGAACAATGACACAGCTACAAGAAGGTCCAAGAGTGCTATAAGCTCTCGAGACCATTCCCAAAGCTGCTTCTTATATACAGGAAACAGACCACATACCAAAAGCAGCTACTCAGCTGCTTGTGGTAGATCCCATCATGCAGTTGATTGCCAGTCTCATCATGGGGAATAACTACCACCAGCTGCCCAGCCAAATTGACACACAAACAAAACCACCACATTGGCCAACGGACTGGAAAAAATCGATATTTGTGCCCATTCCAAAGAAAGGTGATCCAACAGAGTGTGGAAATTATCAAACAATATCATTAATATTACATGCAAGTAAAATTTTGCTGATGGTACTTCAAAAATGGTTGCAGCAACAGAAGACAGAGTTGGAGTAACCTCTCAGAGCCAACCAAACACCTTGAGAAAGAGAATCACTGGGCCTGTGGACTTGGGACTGTAGTCCTGGGGGACATGATGCTCAATTGGCACAACATAATACATAAAAACCTTGTTTTACAACCTACTTTGGTGAGTAGCGACTGGGGTCTTAAAAGCTTTCGAGTGGCCATCTGAGATGCAACCATTGGTCTCCTTTCATCTGAAACAAAGAAGAGCGAAGAAAATCAAAGGTATCTGGAAACAATTAGTCCAAGCACAAGATGGACCATGAGGATCTCAGCCTTCATGACCCCGAGACCAGAAGAACTACATGGTGCCCAGCTACCAATGCCCACCACTCAGAAAGGGATCAAAACTGGAGATCCTGGATAGAGTGGGAGGAAAAACGTGGAACAAAATTCAAAAACACAAAAATTACCAGAATTACTGGTCAGATAGTATTTTGGTTACCTAGTGCGGCTTTGACAGGACTATATACCACAAATGGGATGTTTGAACAAACAGGACTTTATTCTCTTACAATTTTGGAGGCTTTAAGTCCAAGTTCAAAGTGCCAGGCTCTAGGGGCTGGGTGAAAGCCCACTATCTTGAGCTTCAGCTCTGCCTCCTGCTCCCGGCCCACTGAAGCTAAAGGCTTTTCTTCACTCAGACTGCTGCTGGCTGCTGAGACTGACAAGCCCAAGGTTGACAAGCAAAAAGGCACAGTCCTGATGTTACCAAACGACATGGCAGGCTATTAATTCAAGTCCATTGAAAGTCCCAAGGTTTGCAGAGCATGGCAGGCTGCTGAACAATGACACAGCTACATGCAGGGTTCAAGCATGCCATAAGCTAGAGACTGTTCCCCAAGGTTTCTCTTTATATACAGGAAGCAGACCACATCCCTAAAGCAGCTGCTCAGCTTCTCCCAGTAGATTCCACCATGGAGTTGATTACCAGTTTCATCATGGGGAACATTATATCTAGCTGCCCAGCCACTCAACCAGGCCCCGCCAAATCAACACACAAAGTTAACTACCACAGATAGAGTCTGATGGAACTCCCAAGACTAAGGCCCAGGGTTACCCTTCAGGCCTACAAATGGATTCATTCCCATGGACTGGCTTTCAGCCCAACAGTAGAGAGACCTACATGTACCCACCTACTCTAGGGATATGCACACCTTACAGCAATCAGCCATGAGGAACCAGACGGACAGCATTCACACAGAGGGAAAGTGGGACAGACAGGTGTGCATAGTTAAGAAGGGCATTGGGGGGTTAGTCACAGGGATGGGAGAGGAGGAGAGTTTGTTACGGTCAGGGATGGTAATCGGGATGTGAAATCAAATGTACATGAACTGCTGAATGTAAAACAAATTTGCTCTGTAAATTTGTACCCAAAGCAAAACAAAATTTAAAAATAAATTAATTAATTATAATTGAAAGCAGGAAAGGAAAAAGAAAAAAAAAAAAACAGTTGCAGCAGTATATTGACAGGGAACTCCCAGAAATTCAAGCTGGATTAGGAATAGGAAGTGGAATGAGGGATATCATTGCTGATGTCAGATGGATCTTAGCTGAAAGCACAGAATACCAGAAAGATGTTTACCTGTGTTTTATCGACTATGCAAAGGCATTTGACTGTGTGGATCATAGCGAATTATGGATAACATTGAGAAGAATGGGAATTCCAGAACACTTGATTATACTTATGAGGAACCTGTACATAGAACAAGAGGCTGTTGTTTGCAAAGAATGAGGGAATACTGCAGGGTTAAAATCAGAAAGGGTGTGAGTCAGGGTTGTATCTTTTCACCATACTTATTCAATCTGTATGCTGAGCAAATCATCTGAGAAGTTGGACTATATGAAGAACACAGCATCAGGACAGGAGGAAGACTCATTAATGACTTGTGATATGTAGATGACACAACCTTGCTTGCTGAAAGTGAACAGGACTAGAAGCACTTACTGATGAACATCGAAGATTATAATCTTAGTATGAATTACACCTCAACATAAAACAAAAACTTTCACAACTGAACCAGTAAACAATATCAAGATAAATGGAAAAAAGATTGAAGTTGTCAGGGATTTCATTTTGCTTGGATCTATAATCAACACCCATGGAAGCAGCAGTCAAGAAATCAGACATCATATTGCACTAGGAAAACTGCTGCAAAAGACCTCTTTAAAGTGTCAAAGAGAGATGTTACTTTGAAGACTAAGGTGCACCTAACCCAAGCCATGGTATTTTCAATCGCCTCATATGCATGTGAAAGCTGGACAATGAATAAGAAAGACCGAAGAATAATTGATGCATTTGAATTATGGTGTTGATGAAGATTATACCGTGAAATACCAGAACAAACAAATCTGTCTTGGAAGAAGTAAAACGCCAGAATGCTCCTTAGACATGAGAATGGCCAGATTTGTCTCTCATATTTTGGTCATGTTATCAGGAGGAACCAGTTCCTGAAGAAGGATATCATGCTTGGTAAAGTGGGGGGTTATTTAAAAGGGGGAAGACCCTCAATGAGATGGATTGATACAGTGGCTGCAAGAATGAGCTCAAGCATAACAATGAGTGTAAGGATGGTGCAGAACTGGACAGTGTTTCATTCTGTTGTATTTAGGGATGCTTTGAGTCAAAACAGACTCAACGGCACCTGACAACAACAGTGCAGATTATATTAAGTGTACAAGTTAAAATTTCAAGTGTGCAAGCTGCAATTGCATGTGTATTTCCAAACCTATAAAAGAAGAGAAAATAGAATGAAGAATTCAGTAAATAGTTAATCAAGAATCTATTACCAAAATGCAAGACCACAGAGAAAGAGGAAAATAATGTCAACAACCCGAGCAATGGAGGCAACAGTTTATTGGTTCTTGAGCTCTGCTAAGCCCGGGGCCTCAGTGGAGATCACTGGGCTTGGGTTCACTCATCTCTGAGCCTCAGAATAGGGCTTCTTGTCATGGGATTGGTTGTGTAAATCTATGGCAACTTCACCAACACTGGACAGAAACTCAGAAAAGTTGATCTTCTCATCATGATTCTTGTCATTCTTCTTAAAGAATTTTTCTAAGAAATCTGGGTTCTTTTTTTCCTGTGGGGGAAGATATCAAACAAAATAAAATTCAGTTATGACCTGGGCCTGCATTAGCAGAAACAGAAGAGGATGGAAGAGGTTAAGGGAAAATAGACTGGGAGGTGCTATTAGAGATGCCTTGTTGTTATGTGCCGTCGAGTCGGACGCGACTCATAATGACCCCTCCTTGGGTTTCCAAGGCAGTATCACTACGGAAGTAGATTGCCCCATCTTCGTTCCGAGGAGTAGCTGGTGGGTTTGAACCGCCAGCCCTCTGGTTAGCAGCCCAGTGCCTTAGGCACTATGCTACCAGAGTTCCCTATTAGAGTTGTCTGAAAAGGCCCAAATGGATGGGTTGTTGTTGTTGTTGTTGTTGTTATGTGCCATCCAGTAGAAGCCCTGAATGTGGGCTTCTTAATCGGTGACTTTTGGGCTCAAAAAATAGCATACACTGTTGTTGTTAACTGCTGTGGGGCTGGCCCCCAATTTGTAGCAACCTCATGCACTACAGAACAAAACATGGCCCCCATAATTGGTTTTGGATCTGACTGCTGTGGTTCACAGTGTTTTCATTGGCTAATTTTTTTTTTTTTTTTTTTTTTCCAGAAGTAGATTGCTAGGTATTTCTTTCTAGTCCATCTTAGTCTGGAAGTTTCACTGAAAACCTGTTCAGCATCATAGCAACATGCAAGTCTACACTGACAGGCAGGAGGTGGCTGTGCCTGAGGTGCATTGGCCAGGAATTGAACCAGGGTGTCCCAAGTGAAAGGAAAGAATTCTACCACTATCCCCATATAAAAACATACATCAAAAAAAAAAAAAAAAACCTCAAGTCGGATCCGACTCATAACAACCCCTCCTTGGGTTTCTGAGGTGGTATCATTATGGAAATAGATTGCCCAACCTTCCATCTGAGGAGTGGCTGGTGGATTTGAACCGCCAGCCTTCTGGTTAGCAGTCAAACGCTTTAGGCACTACGCCACCAAAGTCAAATCGACTGGACAACAATGAGGTAAGAACATAGATAAGAGACACAAAAGTTCTGAGCCAAGTTTTGTCTATACCACTTTTGAGAGCACCATAGTCATTCTTTCAGGCCTGACATCCTTTGAATCCCATTCTCAAAACTACCTCCACCCATTGTTTATTCCCATTAAATTCTTAAATTCTGAGGTCCCTCCTCTTTGGACTCACTCTCTGTTATTTAATCTGTTAAATATTTCTGCTAATGAGTTCAGTGCTAATGGTTTAATGGCGATATGAGATAAGACAGTGAGTTAGACTCAAAAACTCCAGAGTCTTAGGACTGCCTAATTTTACTTGGCATTAAGATTTCTGTGTTACTTCTGCTCCCAGAGCACGTGAAGAGAAACTTCCAGAGACAGTTGAATCTAGACTTGAATTGAAATTTAGAAGAGAAAATTTTTGTTGCACAGAGAAAAGAGATACTTTACCCGGGAGACTTTTTCCTGACCCACAAATTACCATAGATAACTGACCAGATAATAGAAATGGTTAACATCTCTACCCTTCTTTGCATTTTACAGCATTTTTGTATGCATCATCTCATTGAAACACTCACAACAACCCAAGGAAATAGGTGCTGTTGTCCCCATTCTACATATGTGGTAACTAAGGCTCAATGAATCCATAATTTCCCAGGGTAATTTAGCAAGTGGGAGCATTGGTGGTTCAGTGGAAGAATTCTCACCTTCCATGCAGAATACCTTCCTTTGACTTTTCAGCCAGTGCTCCTCAAGCTCAATCACCATCTGTCTGTCTGTGGAAGCTTACATGTTGTTGTGATACTTAACAGATTTTAGCAGAGCTTCCAGACTAAGAGAGACTAGGAAGAAAGTTCTGGCAAGCTACTTCTGAAAATTAGTCAGTGAAAACTATATGGATCACAATGATCTGATCTCATTCTGCATGGGATTGCCATAAGTCTGGGTTACTAACAACAACAGTTTAGCAAGTAAATGTTCATTTATAGGTCTTTTAAGCCCCATCCAGGATTCTGTCCACTACGCTCATTGGATTCAAGAAGTAGTCCCTACAGGAAGCTGGGGAGAGATACAAGATGTGGAAGAGAGAATGGGGCTCAGAGTTTGCTTATCAGCCTGGCTATGAGAGCCTCTCAGTGAGCTGGAATTCTCTTGCAAACTAGGGCCACAGGTCCTACCCGCTCCTGCTTCACTCCCTGCCCAGCCACTGTCCAGCACACACTCACACCAGCTGACAGGAAGGTGGGGAAATTTTCCTTCATCATCTTCGGCAAGCCAGATTTGTCCATGGCATCTGAATCTCGAGTGTATTTGTGAAACAGGTTGACCAAGCCCATCAGCATCTTCTCGGCTTCAGTGTTACTACTCATCTTTGTTATCCAAGAAGCTGCAAGAAAGAGAGACTTCATCTGGCTTTACTTTCCAATATGTGAGACTCTGGGGGATAGGAGTGCAAGGAAATGAGTGAAGGATGGGGAGAAAGTGAGAGACCAGGGCTGAGATGGAGCAGCATGAATTTGGTATTTATTTTGTCCAGTGAAGTTCAGAGAAGGGAACAAAAGTTTGAGGAGAGGGTAGGAAAAGTGTGGAGCATTGGGAGGCCAAGGGTGGAACACAGTGGGGTGCGAGGTATAGATTACAAAGCAATAGATGGTCTGATGGGCCATGAATTCAAGGTGTTGAGAAAGATGGGAATCAGCCTTTAGGTCAAGAAGCAATTATGGTGAGATTCTCAAGAAAGACATTGCCAAAAAGAAAGGAGCAACAATTCCCTCACTTTCCCAGATCCCCATGTTCTGAAACATAATATAAAGAACCTAAGAAGTGCTCCGTCCCTGTGGATCTGAAAACAAGCCAACAGTCACGTGCCAAGAAGAAAAAAGCTATAATCCACCTAATTCCATGGTATTTCCTGGACCTCTGGGCTCATGTTTGTTCAGGATGCTCCTAGGGAGATGTTGAAGGGCTCAGTCAGTCTCTGTCCTGGGACTCTGCTCATCCTTATTCTGGACCCATCCTTTAGCCCAGCTAGAGGAACCCCCCAATGCTCTGTTGAAGTAGAAGCCAATTTGGAAAGAGTCACCAATGTCTTGGGATGTGAGCAGAGCCCAGAGAATAAAGAGGATGTTTTGCTCTTGAGACCTGTGGGTTGGACTTTCCATTTCCCAAGTCTGGTCAGAGTGAGGACAGGAGAATGGCTAAACCTGAGACAAGGGGAATATTACAAACATGCAGAAATTAACTACTAGGCCCCCTGTGTCTCCCTGAGCAACTTGAAGAGACCTGAGCCCAGAAATCCAGGGGACACCACAAACCATGAAGTGCATAGGTCAAGGGCTGCAGAGGAAGGAGACAGTTGGAATCCTAGACTCAGCTCTGTCCTCAGTTGCCTATGAAGACCTCCTCCCCAGTAGTCTTTCTATGGCTCTTCCTGAGGTCACATTTCACAGCTACCAAAAATTGGAGCAGAAGATACCTGGGAGATTTTTTAGTCCAGCCCCCTCATTGCCCAGAAGAGGATGCTGGGGTCTGAAGAGCAAAGAAGAATGACTGTCCTGAAGCCACAGAGCTCAGAAGGGGGCCCACTGTGACTTGAACCAGGTACCCTGACTCCCAGCCCAGGGATGTTCCCCTGGGGTAAGCAGAGAGCAAAGTGGGCTGGGAGATTGCACCTTAAGCCTAGGAGAAGCAAAAAAAAAAAAAAGCAGATGGGGACTCACCAGACCCACAGGAAGAGGCACAGAGGAGGTGGACAAATGAGAGATGTGTGTTTGGGTGAAGAGTATCTCTTTTATGGTGCACAGATCTGGGTTTGGCCAGGGCTGGGAGTGCTGGGTTTATCCCACCAGCTGCCCCAACATAATGCTACTCTTGGTGGGGACTCACACCCAAGACTCTGTCCTGGGGCTCATTGATGTCTGCCCAACCCAAGCCACACAAAAGGATCTTCTGTCTTTCTAAATCCTATGGTAAGAATGGCAGGTGGTGATGGAGGGCAGGTAATGGGGCCACTGTGCCCCAGGAAATAGAGCATTTGAGGATTTGCAAGTGGAATTAGAGTCTGATTATGAATCTAGTGAGTTATCCAAATTAACCTTTATTAAAGGTGAATAATATAAGAGTTGCTGCCATTATTGACAGGTTCCTACATGCCAGGCAGTGTGCAGAGAGCTTTGAATGCATTGTCTCATTTAATCCTCAGGAAACCCATGTGCAATGGGGATCATAATCCTATTTTACAGATGTGGAACAGAGGGTTTAGATAAATTTCCCAAGAGTATCCAGTTGCCATTGAATTAGTTCTGACTCATGGTGACCCCAAGTGTATCAGAGTAGAACTGTATTCCATAGAGTTTTCAATGACTGAGATTTTGGAAGTAGATCACCAGACATTTCTTTTGAGGTACCCCTAGGTGGAATAGAACCACCAACATTTCAGTTAGCAGCTGAGGGCATTAGCTATTTGCACCTCCCAGGAACTCTTTCCCAAGGGTTTGCCTCTTGTAAAAGGCAAAGTGAGGATATGAACCCATGTCCTACTGACTATAAGCCCAGCTTTTAGAATTTCATTGAAGTCCCCAGTCTCTGTCATGTCAGTCTCTGGACTAAGCGAGTGGTGCCATCATGGGGCCTGCCCTACAGGAACCCACCATCCAGGAGCAGATGCTGTTTGCACAGATGCATGCACAGCAGAGTGACCAGGCCTGTGACAGAGACATGGCCCTGGACCCAGGCAACAGTGAGCGGACCTCTGTGGTCTCCAGTGTCCTGATTCTCATACTCTTGCAGGCCACAGGGATCTCTGGACGGGACAACTGCAGAAGGCTCACTTTTGCTTTCTAAAGAAAACCACTTTTACTGGAAACATCTTGCCAGCTAGGAGGCCCAGAAAGACAACTGGGATAGTTTAAAAAGCAAAGATGCCACTTTGATGACTAAGGTGCACCTGACGCAAGGTATGGTTTTTCAGTCTTTTCATATGGATGTGAAAGCTGGATAATGAAAAAAGAAAATGAAGCCAAGTAGAATCAAAACTCAGTCCCCATCTTGTCTATAACCTTGGTTGGAGGTAGATAAATAAACATGACAACTCAGTTCCTTAAGAACTGAACTGAATTAAGGCTCAATCCTCCATCCTGTCCATTATTATTCTCATGTTGGTTAAGACAGATGTGCGGCCATGATAACTCATGATTCAAAGCTCAGTCGCCATCCTGTCTATTACCTTGGTTGGAGGCAGATAAGAAAACATGATAACTCAGTTCCTTTAGAGCTGAGCTGAATTGAAGCTCAATTCACATACCCCCTCCATCGTTATCCCCCACCCTCACTGGAAACAGGTGAATAGGTATGTTAATGTGTTTCCTTAAATTTGTTTTTCAGAAAACAACTTGAAGTCAACTTTGGCCCGCAAAACTTTGGCCCACTTTCAGTTGCAGTGAGGCAAAAGGGAGCAAAGTTGTGCGGAACTGACATTTTACCCTCTGTCAAGTCCTGATCAGCTGCTGATAGGAAGTCAGTGTGTCTCATCCGGTGAGCAAGCACACTGCATTAAAAATTGAATTTTCCTTTCAATTGGACATTCAATTGAATGTCAGCCAATCCCCAGGTAATTCAAGCCCAAATTCCTGAATTTTTATGAATATATATAAACCCCTCCCCTGACCTTTACAAAAACTGTATCCCAACCTCCACTTAGGGAGTCAGATTTGAGTACTGGCACCTGTCTCCTTGCATTGCTGCTTTGCAATAAATAATTTTCTCTCCTCTTAATCACTTGGTATGTAAACTAGTTTGGCCTGATCATGTACCAGGCAGGGACTCACGTTTGGTCTGCCTTCAAAGACAGAAGGAGAATTGATGAACTTGAACTGTGGTGTTGGTGAGGTATATTGAATAACCCATGGACTGCCAGAAAAATGAACAAATCAGTCTGCGAAGAAATACAACCAGAATCCTCCTTAGAAGTGAGGATGGCAAGACTTTGACTTACTTACTTTGGGCATGTCATTAGGAAAAGATCAATAATGTTAGAAAAAGACACCAAGTTTTATAAAGGAGAAGGTCAGTGAAAAAGAAGAAAACCCTCAATGAGATCCATTGACAGAATATCCACAAGAATGAGCTCAAACACACCAATGATCATGAAGATGGCACAGGATCAGGCAACATTTTCTTCTGTTAAACATGGGGTTGCCATGAGTCAAAGCTGACTCAATAACAACTAACAAAAATAACATTGGATGAAGAAACAAGAGTTTGAGAGGTAGATGGGCTTGGCCAAAGTCACGGTTGGGGAGGACAGACTAGGACCATAGCCCAGGAATCCTTATTCCTAGAGAGTGTCCTTGCTGCCTGACCTCAGAGCCCCACAGAGTCCCTGGAGCACACCAGTCGTTGTTGTTGTTGTTGTTATGTGCCATCAAGTCGGACCCAACTCATAGCGACCCCTCCTTGGGTGTCCGAGGCAGTATCACTATGGAAGTAGATTGCCCAACCTTCCTTCTGAGGAGTGGCTGGTGGGTTTGAACCTCCAGCCTTCCAGTTAGCAGTCAAGTGCATCAGGCACTATGCTATCAGAGCTCCATTGCTTTATACCCAAGGAACTGGAGGATACACACAAGGGCCTGAAGACTCCTTGGGTTTACTCTTTACCTGTTTTATACTCCTTCCAAACTCACTGCCGTCAAGTTGGATCCGACTCATAGCGACCCCTCCTTGGGTTTCTGAGGTGGTATCACTATGGAAGTAGATTGCCCAACTTTTCTTCCAAGGAGTGGCTGGTGGGTTTGAACCACCAGCCTTCTGGTTAGCTGTTAAATGCCCAAGGCACTATGCCACCAGAGCTCCCTGATGAGTGAGTAAGTGGAAAACACACACAGGTGCCTGAAGACCCCTGAGTTTACTCTTTACCTGCTTTATACTTCTTCCAAATTGCCCCCCAAGGAGTAAGGGGATGGTAGCAGGTTTTTATTCCAAGATATTTTCTACAAACAATATTGTATGCAGGAGCCAGCAATCTCAAACTGTACAAAGCAGGGGTGTTTTGGGAAAGACTGGAAATGGGGGCATTGGGAGCATCCTCTGAAATAAAACCAAATCCATTGCCATCAAGTTGATTATGCCTCATATAGGCCTTATAAAATAAAGTAGAACTACTCCAGGGGGTTTCCAAGGCTATACATCCTTAAAGAAGATGCAGACTGCTCACCTTTCTCCTGAGGAGCAGCTGGTGGGTTCGAACTACCAACCTTTTTGTTAGCAGCTGAATGCTTTAACCACTGTACCACCAGAGCTCCTAATAGCAGCCTCTATAGCACTCCAAAGAACCCATGTTTCCAGATCCAGGCTGCCATGTTACTTATTATCT